AATGTTTTATAGGCGGCTGATTATTGAGTTCGGAGAGGACATTGTAAATCAATTGCTGATCCACGAGAGCAGCATCCTGTGAAGGAGATAATTATTCGAAGTGGAAGACAATCTACTAAGTTTATAGGAGAGAGTCGAATAAGCTTACTTGGAAATCGATATCAGTTTTGGGTAACGCTGAGACAAGGTCTGTCGCCGGTGATTTACACAGAGCTAGCTTCAGTTCCTGATTTAGAGAGGGTATATAAGAGACGGTTTCGATAGGTTAAGTGAAATGTTAATTTTTAAGAATCTGTCTATCCATTTCGTGTGGTACATCAGAATTGTGTTCGCCATGCATGGTTGTCTGATTCTCGATCACGTGACCGTGGCTCTGAGGTTCCTAAAATAAACCGTAAATAAAACGATTTGTTCCTTTATGGTATTGTCTTAAAATTAGGACATAGTTGGATGGAAAATCTTACCTCATGGTCTAGGACTGCTGTTCCACAAAAAACATCTTCAGGTACAGTATCTCGCTTTGGTGGTCCACAAATAAGAGCTTGAGGACCAGTCTGTGAATTGAATAATGAGAATGGTAGTAACGACCTAAATGATGAATATTTAGTGGAAGTAAGTATAGTTTTACCGTGCTATATAAGATCTGTGCGCCAAAAATTTCTGCACCATCAATCGAGCGGTCTTGTAAGTTGTTTGTGACATTGTAGACGTCCATGTGTACTTGTCCACCGTCTGGGGAGGCGACCATCTGGGCCTGGTTAGTGGAAGAGGCATGGTTATGGTTCGCAATAATACCATATAGAGATGCAGGAAAAAATTTTGCTGGCATTTGTAATACCTGCTCATGAATAAGTGGGTCCTTGAGGGGACTTTGTATTGGCAATGGTTGTTCACTTTGGAGCATACCATAACCAGTAGACTCGGGCAGGGCTTGGTTGGATGCGGGTAAGCGGGAAAAGTGTGTAAAAATCTGGGAAAAAGACTCGCTGAATTTATGAAAATATACTTTTGGAATTGAGATATGACATTACCGCTTGGTTGAATAGTTCTGTTTTGCTAGACGGGCGTTCATCATCATGGGTCTCAACCGCCATGGCCTGTATTATATATTAACGTAAAAGGTAGTGTACATTAAAAACCAACAAGTGAGGGAAGTTTTTGAACCTGGTCAGCAATAAGTGGCTCCTTGCAGAGTGGGATCTGTTCCGGATAACCGGTGCTGTGTTGGTCTTGCAGAGCGGGATCAGTTATGTTCGGCAAAAGACAATCTTGTGAGTCGCAGTCCATCTGGACCGGTACATCGGAAGAGGAGTCTGCTACTGGTTCCTTGGGGGTGGCTAATTCCGCGTCATTCTGGAATATGAGGCGAGGAGGGGATTCATAATGAGGCAAGATTTGCGTAAAAAAAAGGGAGGCATAATAGACAATAAGAGGACCTAACCTTTTGGGACAAATTCTGTTTGTCGGATGTTTTCGTCGACGTCAAGTCATCAGAATCGTGATGGAGACCCATGTCCTATATTGCCAAACAAATTTAGTAAGTGACAGCACCTGAAAACGAAAGGAAAAACGTGCAGACCTAATAATGATAGTACGAACCTCTAGCTCCCATAAATCAGGGCCATTCTTTGCCGGGGTGATGTCGTTTTTTTCCGGGGTCGTCCAATGAGGAAGATTGGATTCGTCGGAAAGACCAATTGTTGGTTGTTGGGAACACGGTGGTGAAAGAGACCGCTCGGGTGGAGTGCTTGATTTATCCCGCTTGTTGGCCTTTTTTATTCTTGTACTACTCCGCAAACCACGTCGGCTTGATCGGTTTCCAACAAAGGGAGTTTTGTTTTTTAACTTGGCTTCAAGCTTGGCGGTTCTTTGCAAAAGATCTTTGACCTGAACTAAAAGCCATTGGTTTTGTTCTTCGAGGTCTGTGGGAGCATTGGCAGCGTGAGAGGTTGTAGTCCGACGTGTGAGAGGCTTCTTAGAAGAGGCTTTGGATTTCTTAACAGACAGAGACTTCTGGGATCCTGTTTTTTTTTTTAGCTTCTTCCTGCCGAGAATGTGTTTTTTTATGCTCAACCTTCTGCTTGTATGGCTTGTGAACAATTTGGGGAAGCGACGCATCTCCACCAGGCCAACAGTTTGGAGGGAATACGTGTCCATTGCTGATAAGATCCTCCATATAAGCAACTTTCCTATCCTTGACCTCATCATCCCACTCACCCCATCCTTCTTCAGGTTGGTGGGATTGGGATTCCATGTAAGGAATGACATGTAGCTGCATTGAGATAAAAGAATGAGATTGGGAATATAAATGGGAAATAGGAAATTAATGAATATTACATCTTCCTGATTCTCAACATCTAAAATGTTGGAAAGAGTTAGCGTTGGTATTTGTGGGAAGCCAACGCCAGTAACATCTAGGACAGTGTGATCATCATATGCTGTTGGGAGCTTCGATGGGAGGCCACTGATAGAATTGAAGGCGTAAAGCTGAAGAATTAGTGGAAATCCTTGAACCCGGTAGGTAGCTTGACAGAGTTGTTGTCTGAAAGTGCCAATGGGATCTTCACATTTTCCCATAATCTTCCGGGCCGGACGAAGAGTGGCAATGGTTTTGTGAAAAGATTCCCTACCCCAAGGGAACTTATAGAACTTATCGAGATCTTCTAGCATCCAGACATATTTCAAGGTGGGACGATGAGTTTGTTGAGAAGATATCAAGACAGCGTCGACAATGAGGATAAGGGCGAGACGAAGTTTTCTGGAATCAGGCATGTTTGGATCACCTTTGATCATAGCCGCGATGTCGGCGCATGATATTTTGAGGTCATCGCCTAGGAGCTCCTGCCAATAAGGATCAGGCTTTTTGGGGTCGTTTCTCATTTCGTAATCTGGGTCGTGGTCCTCCGGGAATTCACCGCACGGTAGTCCAGATATGAGGCCGAACTCTTTCAATGAAAAACGCATAGGTTGTCCACCAAAAACCATTCACACCTCGTATTTCCGTTTGGTTATGAGTTGACGCGCCATAAGACCATGTACAAGTTTGCACGAGATAGGGCACCGGGCAACCGGGAACTCAAATAACTTACCAAAACAAGAGTTTCTGATTTCTTCGAAGACTGGTGTGTTTTCTAAAGTGTCCTGAATCCACGTAAGTGTATCGGGCTTGGAGTATATATTTAAACGATTGCTGGGGTAACGGTCAGTAGCAAAGAGTCGGGTAGGAAGCCTCTCGTCCCACGTTGAGTTATCTGGTGTAAGAATCAAATAATATTGAGTAAAAAACAAAGTGATAACCGTTAACGAGCAAGAAAGACAAAAGTATGGGATCACAGATCTAATAAACAATCGATTTGTGTAAAAAAGTCTAGAACGGGACAGAACCCTAGATCTATTTTAAAACTAATTTGAAAACGGTAAGAGTTCGTCAATATTTACCATCCATGACCGAAAGAAAGTGTTGAAGAGTTTCTCTGGTTTATAATTAAGATTCCGGTAGGTTTCGTCGCCTGTGACTCTGTATCGCGGGGGTTAGCAGAGACTCGGAGACGAAGGAGACGTTTAGGTGAAAACGGAGCAACCTCAAATTGATTAAAATCCGGTTGAAGTAAGAGAAATTTGGGGTTACAGGAGCGGGTCGGAGACGTCGTTGAGAAAGTCGGCGATGTCGGCGATGTTGCAAAGAAGAAGATAAAGGGTTCAGTAAAATATTTTTACAGCGAAAACATAGAGAGAAAAATGGGAGGGGTAAGAAACGGGTGTGACAAAACAGAGGGGTAAGTGGGTCTTTTTACTCATGTAAAGTCACCAATATTCTCAAAGTCCCTTATCACGTAATAAAAAGTGAGAAAGTGGCCCGGGATGTAATAATTTCTTTAAATAAGTGTTCCGAAAGTGGTGATGCATATATTTGCATCAGTTTTCAAATAATAATTTTACATTAGTTACTTAACTGATGTAAATATTTGATCTGTTTAAGGAAGTGATGTAAATATTTGCATCAATTATTTTAATTGACGGTTGCAGAAAATAGTTTTAAAGATTTGCATCAATAATATAAATGATAGTTATGTTATACAATAATTATCAACTTTAAAATATATGTTATAATTTAAAATTAGTATGAACTTTTAGTATAAATTATTTTATAAATAATTTAAACTTTTTACATATTATAACACATTGATATTGGCTTTTAGAGTTTGTAAATAAATTGTAGTTATTTATTAAGAAACAAAGCTTCTCACCTCTTCTCTTAGTGGTCATCAAAACTAATAAAAAATTATTAGCATCATTTTTTATCGATGTAATATTTGAATCATTTTTTAAATGATATTAACCAAAAAAATGTAGTTATGTCAATAATCTAAGTGATGTGTATTCACATTCTTGTATCAATTTTCATGAAATGATCCAAATTAATATAAAAAAATCTATCATTTATTACTGAATTGATATTAAATTAACTATTAGTAAAATTAGTTACATAACTGATGTCAGATTACATTTTTTTATATCAGTTGTTATAAATGATTTAAAATAATTTACTTTTTGATACAATTTCAGTGATGTAATACTTTTTTTAGGTGCCTGATTAATCTTCTAAAGATGAGTGTTGCCGAGTAGCCCACTCACCAGAGATCATTTAGAAAATGAGAATGGTTATTGATTAATAGCAAAGACCTACATGGCAACCATTCTTTTTTTCTTTTTCTTTTTTTTGACAACCCTACATGGCAACCATTCAACAGACGAGAATCACTATCACTACAACCTGGTTTAAAATCCAAATTAAAATAATATATCACCATTATTTAATTTCTTTATCAAACATTTGTGAAGAAAATAATATAATGGAGTTTGATTTAGGTCATTAGCACAACCAGAATGTAGTTTGAAAAAAACACACAAACTTGGAGGTGCAAGTGCATCCCGCATAGAGATTAACAAGTTGTTCAAACTATTCATCATATTATATATATCTACTCGTTAACATTCATCAGTAAACAATCATTTTAACGTAAACAAAACCATCTTGAATCCTTGATCGACAAACCTTTTGGGTTATTAAACCCAACCAAAACAAAAAAAGAGCCCTAATAAAATTACTCAGCCAAATTTGTCAGGATAGGATCTTGGAAAAATAAGTAGTGCGAGAAGAACTTGACAAAAAGATGGACTCTAATGCTTTCAACACGTTCTTGATGCAAGGCCTCTGTTGCGGATCAATGACAGTACAATTCAGAGCTAAGTCCATGACACGGACAATCTCGCGTTGATGTACTGACGTATCGATGGACGAGTCAATCCACGTGTCAATATGGCTATTGGAATATGAATATCTAGCCCAGTTGACCAAACTCCCGTTGACTCCAGATTCTATGTCCTCATCACCGGAGGATTTTTTACCGGTGAGGAGATAAAGCATGAGGATTCCAAAACCATAGATGTCACTCTTACTTGTCACGTCCTTGTGCTCCCTCGTTTCTACGTTATCAAAACGAAGACGAAAGTGAAAGGTGTAAGCTTAGAGAATATAATCTTTAACAAATAAATAAATTATATGCATATAATATATATATATACATATATATATATAATTTGTCATAGACAAATGTTTCAACTTTTTCTGAATTAGCATTATTATTTCTTCTAAATTTTGGTTCTAAATTTTGAAACCGTCTTAAGTTAAATTAAATAAATGGATTATTTGCTAAATAACTTAATAATCTCGTGGCAAAATCGTAGATATTAAGATGTTTTGGTTAAATCAAAGTTTTTAAATTTTATATATTTTCTAATCAAAAGACATCATTCAATTAAAAAACTCCATGTTTTAAATTTGAAACCAATAAAAATAAATCAAAATGTTTTTAAAAAAATATTAATTAATTATTTTATACAGAGATGTGAAAATATCTTATGTCTAAGAAAAAAACTAAAATATCTTAATTTATGAAACAGATGGAGCATATAATAGCCCTGTTATCAGCTAAATTAATTGATATTTAATTTGTTATAAGAAAAACGCTTGCTAAACAAATGTTAAAGAAAAAAAAAATATAATATTATACATATTTACTGAAGATTAAGTTATCCTTTATTTTGGCAAATAAAATGGTATAATTTGGTTTTCTATTCTTATAATCCCGTTTGGTCTGTTCTCTTGTGAAAAAAAGATGTTGTGATTATTTTGCCGAAAAAGAAAAAAAAAGATGTTGTGATTATACCTGGGGCCATGTAAGCCGCATCCATGCAAAGTAAGCTTGGAAGACCAAGACAGAGCCTTGGTTCATCTTCGACGTCGACGACAATATTCTCCGGCGATAGTTCACCAGCAAAAACTTCCGGAGAACATCGACAATGTAAAAACCAAAGAGCTTCTGCGATTCCCCTCATAATCTTCCTCCGTCTCTCCCAACTGAAACCATTCAAAATCTGGCTAAGTCTTTTCCCTTCTACGTCCTCGTGGATCAAGTACACTATTTTTTCCGACCGGCAGGTCGCAACTACCTTCAGAATGTTCTTGTGCTCAGAAAACTTCCTAATATCCGATATATCATACTTGTTGACCTCCTTAACAACGAACTGCACGCCGTTTTTATCCGCAAAAACGTTTTGTTCCTTGAGAGACGATAGAATCGCGTTCATGGTAAGCGATTTCATGAATCTTGAATCGAAGAGCTGAATTTCCCACTTTGTACCATCTTCTTGTTCCACTTTCTTGACCTCCAAAACGTTGTGCGTTCTTTGAAAGACGAGACCGATGAAGAAACCAGAGACTAGGACGGCCAAGAAAGCTACAAAGGTTGAAATAACGATAAACCACCAACTCTTCGTACTTCTCTTTCTTACAACCTTGCAAGGAGGTAAAACGCTAACATTATTTTCGCCACAGAGATCTTTATTACCGGCGACTGCTGTAGCGTTTATGGCAAGAAAAGCTCCGGTTAAAGGTAAGCTTCCATGGAGAAGATTATGAGAGATGTTGACTTGAACAAGAGACTCAATATTTCCTAGATTCTTCGGAATCTCCCCGAATAATAGATTGCATGATAAGTCAAGATTGCTGAGAACTGGGAAATCCGAGAAACTCAAAGGAATCTCTCCGGTAAAATTGTTGTGGCTCATGTCAAGATTCACTAGGTTCTTGCACGAAGACAACTCACTTGGGATCACTCCAGTGATCTCGTTGTCACTTAAATCCAAATCCATAAGTTCCGGGAACGTCATGAGCCCAAGTGGAATCACTCCAGAGATTCTGTTCGCTGATATATCGAGCTTCTTGAGTCTCTTGCTTCTAGAAAGATCCGGTAATTCACCAGAGAAGCTGTTCTTGCCGAGGTTTAACATCTCAAGTTGTGGCATGTCCCATGTGCCGATGTGACCTCTGAGGCTGTTCTTTGATAAGTCCATGAAGTTAACGAGTTGCAACTCGTTGAACCCTCGAGGTAACTCGCCTGAGAAGAAATTGGATTGAAGCCTAACTCGCTCTAACGTATTGCAGTCGCCAAAACTCGGCGGGATCACGCCGTCCAGATAGTTAGAGAAAAGGATGAGCTTGGTGAGATGGCCAGAGTCACAGAGGGTATCAGGGAGTTTTCCGGTAAGATTGTTGGTAGAAAGATCAAGAACAGTGAGGTTGTTATGCTTCCCAAGATTTGCCGGAATTTCACCGGATAATCTGTTGGACCAGAGCTGAAGAACTTGTAGACGTGGCAAGGACGTTATTCCTTTAGGAATCTTTCCGGATATGTTATTAGAGAAGAGATGGAGAATCTCCAAGTTTTGCAACTGAGCCACAAGCTCAGGGATCTCTCCAGAGAGCGAGTTATCACTAAAGTCGAGAGATATGAGATTTTTGAGGGAGAAGATGGACAGTGGAATTTGACCGGAGAGCTTGTTTTGGTAGAGAAACATGTACTCAAGCTCCTTCAAGTCTCCTAGTGAAGGAGGTATGGGTCCAGAGAGATTGTTGTAGACGAGATCAAGGTGGTTAAGAGAAGATAAGTCACCGATTTGATGAGGTATTTGGCCGGAGAGATTGTTGTATCCCAAGTATATCCATTTCAGGTTTTTCATCAGCCCTAGTTCCGCCGGTATACCTCCAATTAGCTGGTTTGAAGCCAATGTTAAGAACTCTAATCTTGAGAGGTTTCCAATATAGGCTGGTAAATAGCCAGTTAAGACGTTTCCGCCGAGATCTAGGACTCTAAGGTTAGAAAAAAATCCGATGTCGTTGTAGATTTCACCAGAGAACATGTTGTTAGAAAGATCTAACGTGTAGAGGTTCGGAAGAAAACCTCGAGGGATCGAGCCAGAGAAGTTGTTGTTGCTTAGGTTGAGGTAACGAAGAGAAGGAGACGAAGTGGTGAAGATTTCTTGAGGGATTGGACCGGACAAGTTGTTATTGGAGAGGTTAATGGTTCGTAAAAAAGGTAGCCGGAAAGTAGCAGAGGTGAGGATTTGGCCAGAGATGTTCTTGCCAGAGAGATCGAGAGAGACAACACGAGATAAGTTGTTGCAAACGACGCCGTTCCAAAGGCACACATCATTGGTTGAAGAGTAAGACCAAGAAGATAGGTGTCTTAAAGGGTCTTGAATTGAGGATTTGAATGATAAGAGAAGCTCGAGTTCGTTTGCATGGAGGCAAGAAAAGTTAAGGAACAAGAAGAAGAGTGCTGTGATGAGATGTGGAGTGTGATGATGAGAAATAGACATGTTTGCTTTTGTTTTGTTTGGCTTTGCTCTATTATTAACAAGATGGTGTTGAATATGTATATATGCTCTTAGGATGAGTGTGTTGCTTTAAAAGATTGTGATTTGCTTCAACCTTAGCTGTAAAATAGAGAAAAATAATATATATTAAACGGGATCAATAATGACCTTCGATTGGAACGATTTAAGAGGGTTTCATAAGGAAGGCAATGTGCATTATTCTTTGTACTAGACAAAAAAGGGATTAAAAAGTGCTTGGATGGTCTACAAAAGGGGAATATATATCAAAGTATAAATTTTAAAATAGAAATAAACAAAAAAGGTGTCGAGCACATTCGCACTTCAAATTATGGCTAGTTTTAATATGAAGTTATTCTTTTGTTTTTTAATATGATGTTATTCATCAAAGGAAAAAAAAAAGAAGAAAAAAAATAAATGAAGCATTTCTTAAACCAAAAGCTTTTCTCGGATGATGAACTACATAGAACAAGTTAAATTAGAGTTTTTTTCTCCCGCCCTCCAGGCGCAATTTTAGAGTTTTCTTTTGGGCATCCATTTAGAGTGTTTTTTTATATATATTGTAAATTTTCCATATATATTTTTGTGACAAGATATATATTACCTAGTATAATTAGTTGTACTATAAATCTAATAACAAAATTATTAGTGTTGTTTTTTACACGTTTTTTTTTTAATTTCTTTTGATTAGTGTTTTTTTTTTCTCCCTCCATTCCAGTCACTTTTGGAGTCAGACGTTTGAACACGAACAGATGAGGATGGGATTGATGTCGTGAAAAAAGCCTCTGATATTGTTGTCGGCTTACTAACGAAATGTTCTTTTGACTGAAGATAAAGCACTATTTCTTATGTGAACGTTGAAAAGTGTTTTCCAACTCCATATGCTATTTGTAACATACTTAATTATGCCTAGCTTATATAAACAATATATGTATTCATTTTCAATGAGAAAAAGGTCAAAACAAAAAACTTCAAGTTTTCCTAATTCACAAAAAAAAAAATTCTTTAAACCCTGAAAAAAAATCATGTGATTTGCTTTGATTGAACCATTTTAGTGACTCGTAGTGTTGTCCGAATGTAAGTAGATCCGTCCCAAATCTTAGATAAGAGTGTAAGTTTATGAAACTCCGTAGAGAATTGTATTGACAAAGTAATCCTTATATAGTTACATAAGTGCATATCTAAATGGAATATTCACAATATTGTTTGTAACAGAAAGAAAATATTTCTAAGAGGATATTCCTATTCTAACCCCCCCCCAAGTGCAACTTTCTCTCGAACAAAATGAATGTCTATCTCAATATGTTTGGTCCGGTGATGCTGAACTGGATTAGAAGAGAGATAAACAGCACTGATGTTATCACAAAAGACAACAGATGCTTTGTCCAAGGGACAGCGAAGCTCGAGAAATAGGTTGCGAAGCCAAGTGAGTTCAGCAACAGCATTTGCAACCCCTTTGTATTCAGCTTCAGCACTCGATCTCGAGATGGTAGGTTGACACTTAGAGGACCACAAAATAAGGTTGTCACCATGAAAAACACAGAAACCAGACGTTAAACGACGCGTATCCGGACAGCCTGCCCAATCCGCGTCTGAATACGCAGTGAGACTTGTCGTAGACGTCTTAAAGAGCTGTAAACCTTGGGAGATGGTCCCCTTGATGTACCGAATGATGCGCTTGAGGGCAGAGAAATGTGTTTCTCGCGGGTCATGCATGAATAAACACACCTGTTGGACCGCATAAGATATATCAGGTCGAGTGAAGGTGAGATATTGGAAAGCACCTGCAAGACTGCGGTACAGTGTTGGATCTTTAACCGGAGGACTATCAGATCCGGACAGTTTCGGCTTCGTGTTGACAGGAGTACGGCAGGGATTGCAGTCGACGAGATTGGCGCGATGAATAATGTCAGCCGCATAGTTCTGTTGATGAAGAAAGAGACTTTTGCTGCTACGGGTCACAGAGATGCCAAGGAAATGGTGGAGAGGACCCATATCGGTCATGGCGAATTCGTCGTGCAACGAACTGATGACGGAGTTGAGCAGATCAGTAGCTGATGCCGTGAGGACGATATCGTCGACATAGAGAAGTAAGTATGCAACATCTTTGCCTCGTGAAAGAATGAACAAAGAGTTGTCACATTTACTGTGAACAAAACCGATACGGCGAGCAAACGAGGTAAAGCGAGTATACCAAGCGCGAGGAGCCTGTTTGAGTCCATAAAGAGACTTGCGAAGCAGACACACATGATCTGGTTTGGTGTGATCTTTGAACCCTGGAGGTTGATGCATGTAGACAGTTTCATGGAGTTCGCCATTGAGAAATGCATTCTTCACGTCAAGTTGGTGAAGCGTCCAGTCCCGAAAAGTAGCAACGCAGAGAACAGCTCGAATGGTAGCCGGTTTGACAACCGGGCTGAATGTATCATCGCAGTCCACACCGACTTGTTGAGATTTCCCATTTATCACCAGACGAGCTTTGTAACGAGCCAAGTTTCCCTGCGCATCAAACTTGTGCTTAAACAACCACAAACAACGAACCACGTTGGCATTCTTAGGCCGTGGTACTAAAGACCACGTCCCACTTTTAATATGAGCACTATATTCCTCATTAATAGCACCGTTCCAGTTAGGATCCCGAGCAGCTTGTACATGGGACAAAGGTAAGGGCGAGACAGTGGAGGTGTGAAGGCAAAGACGAGTAACTGGTTTGGTGATCCCCGACTTGCTTTGAGTCTGCATGGAGTGTGTAACAGGTGGGGGTAAAGGCGGTGGTTGAGGTGCAAGAGGAGGTGATGGCGCAGGTGGTAATGGTGAAGGTGAAACCGGAGGAGTTGGTGGTGGTCCAGGTGATGGTGGTGTTGGTATCCCGGGTGTGACCAACCTGGGAATCGGGTTGATGGTGTAAGATGTCTGTGATGGTGGTGATCGTGAAACCAGAGGATCCACAGCAAACGGAAAAACAGTCTCATCAAAGGTGACATGTCTGGAGAAAATGATTTTGTTGGTGGACCGGTCAAGACATCTATACCCGCGGTGATCAGCTTGTGTTGCGTGATCGGTAGCAGGTTGGGGTAACACAGCGAACCGAATACACGAAGGTGACCATATGAGACACCTTTGTTGAGTAGGTGAGTATATGGGATCTCGTTGCCAATCGCGTAAGACGGAAGTATGTTGAGCAGATGAACGGCAGTGTTCAATGCTTCTACCCAATAACCGAGAGGCATATGGGCTTGAATGAGGAGAGTACGAAGCAGATTGCTGATGGTGCGAAGGAACCTTTCTGCTTTTCCATTCTGCTGAGACGTATATGGACATGAGAAACGAAAACTGGTACCCGTAGTAGAAAACAGTTCGCGAAAAGCTTTGTTATCATATTCACGGCCATTGTCGCATTGGAGAGATTTGATGGAGCAGCCAAAATGTGTCTTGACCCACGCCGAGAAGTGAAGGAAGCAGCAAAACACTTAACTCTTGCGTTTTAACGGATAAACACATCCAAAGTTACTGAAGTCGTCAAGAAAGACCAAATAGTAACGGAAGCCACTTATGCTGGAAACAGGGGATGTCCATAAATCAGAATGAATAATATCAAAAGGTTTAAAAGTAACAGACTTTGATAAATGAAAAGGGAGCCGAGTGTGCTTTCCTAATTGACACGCATGACACAATGTCGTCATGTCGGTCTTATTAAAAGATAGAAAACCAGAAGAACAAAGTGAACTAAGAGTAGCTTTATTGGGATGTCCAAGTCGACGATGCCATATAGAACTTGGTGCCGCTGAAACAGAGAATGCAGATGGTAATGAGGATGACGGTGTGACGGATTAGAGAGGACCTGGACTGTCACATCAGAGCAGTGGAATCCTTGTACAAAGATCCTTAACACAGAAACCAAAAGGGTCAAACTCAACAGAACAAGCATTGTCAGTGGCAAATCGACGAACGGAAACAAGGTTTTTGATGATGGATGGGCACACAAGGACATTGCAAAGTTTAAGGGATCGGTGAGGGGAGGGGATAGAGGTATGACCCGTGTTTGTAACAAGTGCCGAGGACCCATTACCTACAGTGACAAGAGGTATAATGCTCGTATTAAAAGTAGAACGTAGCGTACCTGGCTGGTTGGTGATGTGGTTGCTCGCGCCTGTGTCCATGAACCAAGTGTGATCAGAGGGGTCTTGGACATTCATCGTACTGAAGGCGTGAGACAGGGCAGACGGAATCTGACTAGACGATCCAACCTCGGATGGAGCATGATGCGTGGGTTGCACGTAATGAACTTCGCTGACCAAACGATAAGGATATGGGCCGAGTACACTGTTTGACGGAGTAGGAGGTGGCATCTGCAATGGTGGTGGAGGAGGGTAATACGATGGTGGAGGTGGATACGCAGACGGTGGTCCATAGTGCTGATGGTAACCCCATGGAGCTGCTCCGTATCCCCATGGTGGGTAAGTGTGGTAGTTTGGTTGCCACGAGTTGTTGTTGCGTCCACGACCACGACCGTTACGGCCTCCACGTCCTCTGTTATTGCGGTTGTTATTGTTGCGGGAGCCATAGTTGTTGTTTTGTTGGCGTTGTTGTTGTTGTTGATCCGAGTCGGTGTAGAGGACTTGAGAGGATGAAGCATCAGCCGGAGGTTGAGGCGCAGGCTTCGTCTGTTTGAGGAGGCGTGATTCCTCCATGGTGAGCATCGAGCGGGCCTTGGTGAATGAGGGGAAGGGGTTCCGATGTTGAATGACGTTGATGATGCTGTCGTACCTGTCAGAGAGGCCATTCAACATGTGCATCACCAGAGAGCGATCGCTGATGGGGGAGTCCACATTAGCGAGAAGATCGGAGAGGGTCTTGAGCTTTTGACAATACTCATGAATGGTCCAGTTACCGATCGTGAGAGTACGAAGTTCGTTTTCATACTGAAGAACACGAGCTTCTTTGTTGTCTCGAAACAGATTTTCGAGAGAGAGCCAAATTTCATGAGCAGAAGAT